TTGTTAACTCCTCCAGTGAGCCGTTGGAGGATTTGCGGCTTATTTCCGGTTAACTATTTTTTGGTGCGAGATCATACTGAGCTTCAGAACAGCTTCAGTCCATCTTGTCTCTGGAAATTTAATGGAGAGAAGATGTTCTTTTATCTAGTGGTGGATAGTTTAGTCTAACAGTCCAGTCCAAAATCTCCCGTATGTTCAATTTGCTTTATTTAAAATATGCTGCCAGTTTGCAACAACATTTGTCTCAAGGCACTTTATTTCGCATTTTAAAGACTCCACTTTATTAGAGAGAAAATTCTAGTTAAAGTGACCTCCAGACACGGGGAAGTGCAGCCGCTGGGGAGGGTGTAAACAGTTGTACATGAGTGGAAAGAGAAGACAGGACCATGAACAAAGAAGATAAAACAAACTGCAGTAGAGAAGACAGGAGTTAATTAGAAGCACGGTGTAATGTAAATGAATGGGTGCATGGAAAGAAATGAATTTCTCCAGGAGCTTGAGCCTAAATCTGCATAACTACAGAGTGGTTTAGGTTTAGTCTCTGTGTCCAGCTTCAGCTATAAATATAAGATTTATCAAAAAGGGGAGTTGGAAGACTGAATGTAGACCTGGGGGACTGACATCCTTTGAACTTCTAGAAGGTTCATGATGAGACTGTATCAGCTGAAGTGTGAAGAAAGGTGTTTAGGTTACTCATAAAGCAGGGGGCATCTGGATTTGAACCAGAGACTTTTTGATCTGCAGTCAAATGCTCTACCCCTGAGCTACACCCCCGCTCTAATCTACCAAGCGAGTACATCCATTCACTGTAAGGCACTAGTTTGGCATCATGACCGCTAAGGTCGTGTCCTGTCCTGCCTTTCACCTTATCTACCAGTCCCCACACCAATGGGATTTCAGAAACATATTTAAGATACAATTTCTGTCAACATACCCTTTAGTCACACACATCATGAAGAGTCTGCTGTTTGGTTATGGCCAGCGATGATGTCTCTATAGTTATAACCAGAGATTTATAAGACCTCCATTCCAAGCCTGACTTTAATAGGAGGTCAGGTATAATCTCACCAGAGCCCTCATGACATGTCAAAATGATATAGATACTTTTGGTTGTGTTGGAGGTCAGAATTTAACCTGCTATATATATTTATATTTTTTTTTAATCTTCTCCTTTGTCACTGCAGACGGGGAGCTGGTTATAAATAGTTGAAGAGTGCAGACAGCAGCAGAATTAAAGCAGCAGAAAAGAAAGCTTGTTCAAAGGCAAAACCGATTCTGATCCCTGTTTTTGGCAGAGGACAAAAGGACTGAGTGGAGATCAGGTTACTGCCATGTGACCCTGAGGAATCTCAATGCTGCACTCCTGCTGATTAAACATTACACTGAAAAACAAGCTGTAGACATACAATAGTTAGTTATTGTACAGAAAAAAGAGGGGGGAAAGCAGCTCCCAGGTAGATCAGCAAGCTGTGGATGAAATAAAAGCAAACTGGGGGAAAAATGAAGCACTAAGTAAATGGTCACTGAAAAAAAAAAGTTTGCCAACTTCCTGTAAGATAGTGACAGGACTTAAGGTAGAGGAGATTATCCCGTTACCTGAAAAAAACAACAACAAAGTAAGTACATATTACTGTATGGAAGACCAAGACTGCCCAAATAAATGAATAAAACTAGAAAATAAAGAAATAAATAATATGAACAAAATCACTGAAGAAAATAAAACTGACCTTAATCACTCATTCAAGTGACTTCTTCAGTCTGTTGGATCGAAGAAGTCACCCACCGAAAATGAAACGTCCAGATGAAGAGAAACAACTTTCTGGGATTTTCTTCCCTGGATTATTAAGCATGCATCAAGACATTTTAAATCTTTTTTTTTCAATTATTTTGTTTTTTTTTAATCTAAAAATTTCTTTCTCTGTTTTTTTTTTATTTATTATTTTGGCTTGTTTTGTCCTCCATACCACCAGGGTCAAGGTAAACAGGATTTGTTGTTTGAAATTATGTTAAATTTAAATGTTTAAATTTTAAATTAGAGGAAAAACTAAAAAAAGACAATAAAAGGTTCACATGAGATAATATTTAAATAATTAAAGGAGATTGTTAGTAGTAATAATATGTTCCTGACTAATAAAGTCAGTAAAAAAAGTTAATTAGCAAGTCAATAGTTGATCAGTTTTCCCAAAATATTCAGTTTCTATGTAAAATGGATAGTGTTAAAGGGAGTCTCTTAAACTTCTGCCAGGATTTCAGCAAAATCGTAAATATATAAAAGCCCCATGGAACCTCAAAAATTGAATAATGGATTTTGAGGTTTTGAAAACAAGATGAGAAATACCTCAGTGTCTGTGGTCTCCTCCCTTGTTAACATCAGTTGAATTATTCTTTTATGATTAAGGACACGTTTTTATGTTGCTGTTAACAATATGTGTTTACAAGTCTCAGAAAATCATGTCCATAAGGTAAAAATACAGTTGCTTAACTTTAATTATCAGTTATTTTTATTAAAGCATGAAATTGAAAGCAATATTTACTAATTTGTAAAACATTATTTGGATGGTTCTTGGAAAGTTGTAAATACTGTGTAATGTTTTAAACAGTGTCCATTATAAAGTTGTTAGTGACATAGGTGGTGTGATGTGGTGGTGGCCAAATCACAAGACTGTGAACCTGGACACAAAGTTGTGACCAAAACTACTCGGTCAGGTTTGGGTTAATTTATGACAAAGTAGGAGAGACACTGGTCTCAGTATTGTGGTCACACATACTGAGCAACACTAAAGGAAACCTTCTGCTTGAATGTGAGACACCAGAGGCTTTGACTAAATGTCAGTAACTGACACCCTGGAATTATGCTCAGTAATAAAACCTTTATTATTAAAGTCTTATAACCCATCATTTACGGGTGGAGCTGTGCTAAGGTACCTGTACACCCTAGACAGGAGACAAGTTGGTAGTTCACTTCACGAATAAATACCACACAAAACCAATATATAATTATAATTGAGTTTTTTATTTTTTATTTTAATTACACAAATTAATGACACTTACATGAATTGCTCAATTAGTAATGATTTGCAAACACTTGCTCGGATCCTGGGAGGCCTGGGAGCTTGAGGGTCCTGCGCAGTATCTTAGCTGTTCCCAGGACTGCGCTCTTTTGGACAGAGATCTTAGATGTTGTTCCCGGGATCTGCTGGAACCACTTGCCTAGCTTGGGAGTTACCGCACCTAGTGCTCCGATTACCACGGGGACCACCGTTATCTTCACCTCACATCTTCTCGAGCTCTTCTCTGAGCCCTTGGTACTTCTTCAGCTTCTCGTGTTCCTTCTTCCTGATGTTTCTGTCATTTGGTATCGCTACATCTATCACTATGGCTGTCTTCCTCTTTGTCTAACACCACTATGTCCGGTTGGTTAGCCATCAACAGTTTGTCCGTCGGTCAAACTGTCCCACGGGATCTTAGCTCGGTCATTCTCCAAAACCCTTTCGGGCGTCTCCCATTTTGACCTTGGGATTTTCAGGCCACACTCAGCACAGATGTTCCTGTACACTATGCCGGCCACTTGGTTATGGCGTTCCATGTATGCGCTCCCTGCTAGTATCTTGCACCCTGCTGTAATGTGCTGGATTGTCTCAGGGGCATCTTGCCTGATGTGGTAGACCCCAGCCTCCATGGATTTTTGTGCTCAGAGCTTGTTCCTGTGCTACCATGATTAGTGCCTCTGTGCTGTCTTTCAGTCCAGCTTTGTCCAGCCACTGGTTGGATTTCTCGATATCAACCACTCCTTCTATCTGCCACTGGTACATACCGTGCACAGGCCTGTTCTTTAATGATGGTTCCTCTCCTTGGTTCTCTTCTGTCTCAGGTTTCTGCTGCCTGAGGTGGTCCTAAGCACACTATCAGGCGTGGCCATCTTCATGATGTATTCATGGATCTTTATTGTTTCATCCTGGATACTGGTTATAACACTCACTAGTCCACAGCCTTCTCCCTTCCACTTAGTGTACAGTCTCAGGGTGCTGGATTTCAAGCTGACAGTGTCTCTCAGCTCTCATATTATTTTTACAATTAAATCATTTAATGATATCTGAAGTCAAGCTGTTTAGAATTACAGCACATACTCAGACACATCAGACCCTAATCTGGGCCTCGTTTGGGCTACTTATGGCACTTTTGGCGTTGCCAGATGTGGACCACATCGGTTATAGGAAGGTTTTTTCATGTGGACCAAATGCTATAACACACCTGACATTTGGGCAATGTAACGCGGACCTAACAATGACAAACGTGGACTACAAATATTGCTGTCAGGAATTAGATTAAAGGAATAACGCTGAGAATTCAATATTTCCTTACTGGTAATTATCTTGAGAGTCCAAGAAATTCCCTCGGAGGATCCTGACCCCTGGTTTGAAAATCACTGCCTTTTAATTTCAATAATCTCAAAGTCATTTAAAGGTAACACAGAGTTCAGCATCTATAAACCCGCAAGTTTTTTAGATTTAACGCACATAATAGGATAAGAGCATAATGAGGTTATTCATGGAAGATTATTCGAGACTGAGAAAACTTAGGGCATCAAAACAGAAACTATTTTAAGATCACTCCAAACACGAGTTCCCGTAAAAGAGTATTGGCGCCGGGGAATTATAATGACCACAGAGGTGTAAAAGTGAGTTCAGACAGCCTACAGCTCCACTTTTCTTTAATGTATTTATTTTTATTCTCTGTAAACGTCAGATTTCCAGCTGAAAATGGGATTAAAAGGATGAATCCCTCAGCTGATCCTAGATCACCAAATTCCCCTCCAGAAAACTAATTCTCTCCCTCATGTTTTAATCCCCAGGGAGCACAGTCCCCATCATGTGAGATTATATCTGCGAGGTGGGTGGTGGAAGCGGGGGTGGAGAGGTGGGACGTCCTCTTTGACAGAGGGGGAGAGGACGAACAAGAAGGAAAAGAAGGAGGAGAGGGAGTGGGGTGGGCTCCGGGAGGACAAGTAGACCGGTCCACCGCAAGAAGTGACTTCAAACACGCGCGAGGCTCGCTGCAGGAGCTCTCAAACTCCGGCCGCCAGTCGTCGTCATGCGCCTCGGCTTTTAAAAGCGTCCCGGCTTCTGCTGCTGCAGCTGAAGAGGGAACAACTTGCTGTCGGTGACTCTTTTTTCTTAACAGAGTTTTGTGTCCAGCCGGTAGAGCTCTGAGCACGCGAACAGGAAGGAGGTGGATAACCCACTTCTCCAGGTTTCGGCATTGCGCCGCATTCCAGTCCGGCGCGCAGCGCTCAGGAGTCGGACCCGGTGCGCTCCGTCTCCCCGCTCCTTCTGAAGACTCCCGGATCTTTTCTGTTTGTGTTCAAAGCACCAATAATGCACAGAGAGACCCGCTTTCATTTAAGATAGATACAGTCGAACACAAACACACACATCCCGTTTTTTTCTTCTGACTGGATTTGGATTAAATCCTCTTTTTTTGTACGATCATGTGTGGATGGTGGATATTTGTTGGCGCTCTGGCTGGGATCCTCACCGTCCCCCGTGGGATTCACGGTTGGTATTTCTAGTCTCTCTTCACCAAGCCACTTGTCCTCCTGTCCTGCTTGTTACGTAGCCAGGTCAGGGGTTATTAGGGACCACCATGCACGCGATCCACCGACTCTAAATCGGATCGGATTTAGTTCAACCTCAGCTACTTTGTCCAGCACCGAGTGAAGAATTGTTCCAGTACGCGCAGAGAAATCTTGTGGAGGTGTGAAAGTTGCGGGCAGAGCGATCGATCATCGTTTCCATTAGGAACACTTTCAGCTTAAAATGAATGCAATTTAGGCTATAATTGCTCAGGACCCACAATCGCAGGTGGAGGACCTTGAGCCAGAGCAGGGTGTTGTTACCCAAGGATAAGAGTTCCCATCCCAACTTCAGGGTTGACAGATTTTCCCAGAAGAGAAAAGTCAGCTGGTGAATTTCAAATGAGCTCTTTCATATGACACAAACACTCGTTTGATAGGATTTCTGAATGAGCACACTCCACCAGGGTTGAGCTGTGCAGTCAATAATGCTCTCCGAGTGGACCTGGAAATGTCTGATTCAGGGAGAGCGGCTCGAATATTCACTAAAACGTGCTCTTTGATTATGTTTCAGTAACTAAAAGCATTTGTTAGGCGAGTTAAAACTGAAAAGACAAAAAGAAAATCTGTTTTAACTGAGCTGCTGGAGTTATTTAACAGAATTTCAGACTTTAATTGTAGAGAAACAAATACTCTTAACTGAAACACAGACATAGAGTAACCTCATATAACCTTAACAGTAATTAAAAAAAATCTGTCTTTAACCCAAACTTCAAAGTCAATTTGAGAAAGTGAAACTCAAAGAAAGGACCAGACTTAAATACACTCTTAAACTCCCGATTTTAGGCGGGCATAGTTAAGCAAAACAATCTTCTGTTTGGATAATAGTTCTGCAGGTACCCAGAGTCACATTCAACAGACTGCAAATGAATCTGAATTAAAAAGCAACACATGAACTTGTTGTAGTTTTTCATATTCATATCTAAACACCTTTTCTTTTTAAATCCAGTCTTTCTCACGGCCTCTGTGTTGTATAAATATTCATAACTCTGCATCAGATCTAAAATAGCTGCCCATGCACGGCTACGATATTCCCATTAGAGGAGTTATAATGCACAGGACTGTCAAGAGCAGAATCTAAAGCAGGTCTGTGCAAGTGCTGCTGCTTAACTGACCCATTCATAGTTTCTCTGTACTCCTCCTGTCAGACCGAGGCATGGTTAATGTTGTAGCCTGATATCTGCCAGGTGAAAACCTCCTCTGCCTGCATGTAACAGCAGCAGCAGCAGCACCATATGCCTACCAAAGTCATTAGCATCCTCTCTCTTATTCTTGGCATGCGTTCATTCTGCTTGGCAGGACTTGCTTCAGTCAGATTCAAACTTTTATGAAGCAAGGTACCCCTTCGCTTCTTTCTGCGCTTAAAAGAGAGCATGCTGGCATCGGCGAGCAGAGCAAAACGGTTATAAATGTTCAAATGTGATCAACAGTGAGTGCTGCAGGATGGACTGAATGCCGAGCTGAGAACGGCGTTTTCTGGACAAATGTTTGGAGTCATGATGAGATTAGTGCTTTTCAATTAAGATTCCTTTGTAGAGCTTTGAGTGTGGCTCTGAGCATCTGCAGAATTATTATCTGTTACCGAATCAGATTAGAGTCGCACTCATCCAGGCAGTTATTGTTGAATATGCAAGCATTCCAGCTCAGGGTCTATGTAAATTAAACACTTTGAAGTTTGACTGCACTTTCATCTGATAAAACATTGATTTGGTTGTTTGCAGGCTTAAGTTTGGGTTAATCATAGGAGTTAAATGATTAGAACAACAGTACAAATGATTATATTTCAACACAAAGCATTTCTGGGTTATTGTAGCGAAAAGATGCGCTGATCATTTCATTTTGTGGCACATTTCTTTCAGAGGTGATGATGAACTGTGTCAACATGTGATATCAAAGGAAAATATGAAGCTGTGGTAAAACGTGTGCAAATCTAGTCCTTGTTTTTTGTTAGTAATCTTATTTTCAGCCTGTACTGTCAAAGTCTACACGTATTTAGGCCGTGATTGTCCTGAGCTGATCAGACATTTAAGGCTTCACTGCCAGCAAACACCGTTTAATACCTTAAGATCCTGTTCACAAAGAATCATCTTGTGAAAATGGACAATGAAATCTAAATTTGAACAACATTTCCTATTTCAGATTTCCATAATCCTCCATTATCTTCCACCGAACAAAGTTCTTTCCTCCCTCAAATTTGAGGGAGGGATGAAAGTCCAAACAAGGATACAGGCATTGTTGCTGTTTCAAGTGGTTTTAGAACCCGATGATGATGAAGACAATACATGTTTGGGGGTTTTTTGGTCTCAGCAGACACATTTGTGCTTAATCCAGACTTCCTGTTGCTCTCACACCTCGGTTATGACACTGGCAAGTATCTTGTGTGGGTCAGATGTGGGCCAAGTTTAGGAGCTGCCCTCGTTTCATTACCTGATATGTGGCCTATAAAAGCTGAACCTGACTCTGAGGTGCAGCAGTGAGACTAACCAGATGTTATTTATTGCTAGGAGGTTAATGTTTTAAAAAGTTTTGCTTAAATTCCTGAAATAAGGTCTGTGATTAACACAGATTATAGACAGATTTTTTACCATCATTTAGCCGTCATGCGGCATCTTTTCTTGGCATTACTGAGTTCAAAAAGGCTAATAAAGGTTGCACTTATTTATGAGACTATCATGCTGAAATGTGCAAGTATCATAAATCAATACTTTCCTTTCTAGATGGCTTTCCCTCAGCCTCCATCACTACAGTGATTGGAGTCATTTTTTGTCCAGGATGTATCCTTTAACTTGCACTTTCAACAATCCATCTACAGAAATGAGAAACATCCTGTGTCAGAGAGAAGCTGAAATGCTGCTTCGTGGATATGTTATTTCTAGGATGGACTTTTGTAGTTCTTTATTAACAGCTCAGTGAAAAAAGCCTTCAGCTGATCAAAAATGCTGCAGTAAGAGTTCAGAGACCATATATGAAGATCATATTTCTCTCATATTAGCTTCTATTTATTGGCTCCCTATTAAACCCAGAATTAACAGAAGGTGTTACAGTGTTTTGTTTTATGCACCTCAGTCGTGAGGGAGACACCACTGCTGTGCTGTGGCAGTAGAATGGGAGGCAGAGCCTTCAGCTGTCAGGCTCCGATTTCATGGAGCTCCCAGTTTGGATTCGGCAGACAGACACCGTCTCTACTTTTAAGATTCAATTTCAAGCTTTCGTTTCAGATAAAAACGACGATGTGACATTGAACCACCCCTTAGTTATGCTGCTGTAGGCTCAGACTGTTGGGGTACTTCCCATGATGCACTGAGCACTTCTCTCTGATGCGTTTATATCCAACTGTTGCATGTCACCAACTTTTGCCCGCTCTTTCCCATATTTTCATCTTTTCTGTCTTCCCTTTGCCCTCATCCCTCAATATGTCATGAAAGATGACGTCTCCTTCTTAACTCTCATTCAGCTGGGGAGCGTTTCCTGTTAAAAGGGAGTTCTTCCTTACCGCCATTGCCAAATATCCTCATAGAAGATAAGCTGATCCAGGGGTGGGTAATTAATTTTCCCAAGGGGCCACATGAGAAAGTTTAACTGTTGTAGGGGACCAGACCAGTAAGCTCTCTTTATAACTGGTAAGATATGATTTTAAATTATCTAATGGGAATACGAAACAGGTAAAGCACCAACGATTTATCACTACTTAAACAACTTTCACAAAAATAGTTGTGAACAAAATGTGCACATTTTGACAAAATTTCAAAGACTTTTAACTTTATACAAAGTGCTGCTTGTAGTTTGATTGCACCTGCAGTTTTTCAGCTCGTCTTTTACGTCTCTGACCCCAGTGAGAGAAATCTAGTCTGTTTTAGGCTTGAATGTGCATTAAAGTCGGTTCAACGTTTGAGCTGATAACAGACAGCTGATCGTCACTGAGAGAGGATCTCTCTCTGGATTTGTTAAACTGCATCACTGAGAATGTTTGTTCACATATAAAGGGAGATCCTTGTCTCCTTGTCTGTGGAATGTTTTCCTCTTTGAAAGAGGAAGAAAAAATCCAGTGGTGATGCTGACTTGAAGCGCTCTGTCAGTGGCGAATTAAGCTGTCTGTAATGGTTCATTCTTAGCACTGACTCACACTACACCTGATGTATAACACAATGCAAAAAAACTCATTTCAGTTCAGATTTCTTTTCACTCACTTTTTCTTTTGCCTTCAAAAGTCAGAAATGTTTTCCCCGCCAGATTTGGACAGCCTTCGTTTGTAACATCTGTCAGTTTGTCCCATGTCAGCCTCTGTTGTAGTTTCATTCATTCATCGCTTTGCTGCCAGCTGCTCCATAATCTCAAACTCTTTCTGTAGTCCAGGAGTAAAGATGAGAAACTGAGGAGAAAAAGTTAAACTCGTCTGCTTTGTTTTCAACTGAATGTCCTTGATCAGTCTTGTTAGGGTTCACCTGGAACGGGGCACATTTTCGACTGCCTCCTTTTTTCTCATTTGGCTTGAACAAGTGCATTAATTAACAGCAGTACACAAAGGACTCTTTGATGAGCTCGCCATCGGAGAACGGCTTTTTTTTGTAATTCTGTGTTTAATCACAAAGCTAGTCTCGACTGTTGTCACTCTGTAAAGAGTTCCTGTTGATTTTGCAGCAAAGGTTCAGATGTCTGTTCCTGCTCAGCAAAAGTCAGTTTCCTTCTTTTTCTCAATTGAAATGTCTTTTTTTAGTATGAGCTGACATCTTTCAAGGCTAGCAAACTCAAAACCCTTATAAACCTTTGTTGCAACACATTTACACTGAAGCTGCCTTCAAAATAAAAGCAAAAAACCTGTATTGTCATTTCCAGTAAAATCACTAGTTTATCAAATAGAGTTTGTTAGTTGAAATGTGAAAAACAGCAGCTGATGCATGAAGTGTGCTTATTTGTATTTGAATCCTAATTTTCCATCTACCTCACGTGGGCTGGTCAGGTGGGCGTGGCCATATTGTTCCCACTTCTTTCATAGAGGATCTGATCTGTGGAATTTTCCCTCTAAAATATAAAGGGCCATGAGACGCTTGTGTAAATAAAATTCATTAAAAAACAGTCAAAGAGCAAACTTTTGTTCCCATCATAGATGATTTTAACAATAATCTAAAAGGCTGTATGTTTAAAACACAAGTGAGACCAAAAATAAGGATTTCCATGTACTTTGGGAGCAGGGAAAGTTGTGCCAGAAATCCCTGTGTGCACTTGATATGAATACAATCCATCTTTTAAAAAACCTGCAAACTAGATGATATTAAACCCATGCTCAGATAAAATGACACTCTCTCTCAAAGACACCAACATTTAATCTGTTAATTAATGCCTGAGATTCAAAGAGTGTTGATAATTGTTTACAATCTGAACTGTTAGTTGGATTTTTCTTTAGCAGGCAGAACTGAAAAGTAAACCTCTCCACTGTGTCTTCCCCAAACTGATTAAACCACCAGATTATATTTTACACAGCACTCTTTCTCCCATACAGTGTGATAAAGAGACTATAGCATGGTGCAGCAGCATAAACACACTCGCTCTCGGGCATCCTTTATGAGGGCATAACTGTAACTGTATTCTTGTTTTCCCATCTCGACCATTATGGTAAATGTTTACCTCTTGCTGTACTTTCCCCTGAGGCAGCTTAGATTTCCCAGGTCTGGTGTCGTGAGGCTCGGAGCCCCGGCTGGGCCGAGGCGCGTGCTGCCTGTGCATCTATCTGTTTGTGTTTTTGTTAAACATTTAGCTCTCAGACGGAGCAAAGATAATCAGTGGCACCCTGCAGTTTCAGTCTAAAGGTTGCATGTTTCACATTTATTAAAGGAATTTTTTAATGGCAGCTGTTTCCAGCTGAACCGTGAATACAAATGTCGGTAAACGCTTAGTTTAATGAGACAGAAAAAAGCAAAGAAGATGCATTACTGGATTCTGATTGGCTTGCAGCACAATCGAAGTGAGAAAGGTTATAGCTGGTGTAAAGGTACTGCAGATAAAAGCAGTGTGGATGAATAGAGGTTCTTTAGATACTCGGCTGTTTTCACATAATGTCATAGTTCTGGACCCGTGTCCAATCAGTTAATCACTCTCCCCAGTGTAAATACTCCCCTGGTTCCTCTACTCAGGTTTCAGTTTTCAACCTCGCAAGCAATTTCTAGTCTTTCCAGGCTTTTTTAGTCTCAAGGATTGTTTTCTGTCATAGACTGGGCATTTCTCACATTTCTCTCGCTTACTCACAGACCGACCTCGACCAGAAATATTAAACTTACACATACCTGCTGTTTCCACGTGCCAATTTAAAAACATTCGACACATTATTCATCAGTCAGACGACGGCCTTTTCACCCTGATTTTATTAGTGCAAAGATTTTACGGTTTATTTTTTAAGTCTGTCTGTATTCTGGTCTTAGATATGAAGAAGGCCAAAGGCCACTTTTGGTTGCTTTAAGGCAGGGTTGTCAAACATAAGGCCTGGGGCCCAGAAATGCTTTGGCAAAGACTAATCTGGCCCATTCGATAGCTTTGGAATATGTGGACGGGATAGATTTGGGATTTTTAACTATGTTTTAATAAGTTTTACAGCTTTTTCTCCTGATTAAGACTTTTTCTGCTGCCGTTCACAAAAGTAATTAAGTGACAGAAAAGTTCCTGTCTTGGGTCCAGATTGAAAAAGACAACAACTATTTCCTCTTTTTTATTTACTACAACATTTCTTCAACATGTAGAAAAACTGAAACTTCTTTTTCTTATATTAAGACATCTCATTAATTTTAAATGTGTAGTTTTACTTATTTACAGTGACAGAAAGGAGCGTTTCACTAGTCTGGCCCATTCAAGATTAAATTGAGCTGCATGTGGCCCATGAAATAAAAAGAGTTTTACACCCCTGCTTTAGGGAATTATAAAATTTTCCATTTTTGGTGGGAAATTTTAAGCGACTCAGCTGGTCTAATAACATAATAGATGTATAAAATATGAAAATAACAGTCATTATAACAGTCATTTCATTGTTCTGTTCATAATAATCAGTGAAATAGATTTTTTTAAAATCTAGAACGTTAATGCGATGAATAAAAACTCGAGTGTGGTCTCTACTGATACGGCTGCTTGGCGATCCACACATGAGATTATGTCTTTAAACATGCTGATTAGCCATAAGTATCAAACCACTCACAGGGCAGGTGAATAACATTGATTACCTGATTACAGTGTAATAGGAACCCAACCTGTCAGCCTCAGCTACCCCCTCTCATTTCTGCAGTGTATCATAGTTATTAGGAGTTCAATAAATCCCAGCTCTGTTTACATATTTCCAAACCTTTTTAGAAGCATAACTACAGCAAAGTGGTGCATTGCTGTGTAACTGTTTGGTCAAAACTGTATGTTAGTCAATTACAAACATGAAACTTTAATATTTATAAGCTTGTTTTTGTATTATTATCCCACTGGGCTTGAGTCTCTGTGTTGCAGACATGTCCTGATCTCTTTCAGAGCTTGTCATCGCACTAAGAACTTTATAAACCTGCATCTTAACAGGGGAACTGATTGATTATCCTTCATACAGCTCGTTTGCTGTTTAACCATCTGCAGGATCCTCTCACAGGTATGATTCAGACTGAACTCTGATACTAATGGTGTGTTTTTTTCTGTATCTCTCCCTCTCTTCCTTCTATGTCACCCCAGGAGCTTGTATCTATGAAGGAGCGCTGCATGCGGTAGGTACACCAACTCCTTTTGTACTCTCCTACCTCTTGCCTAGCACCGCTTTAAATCTCCGTCCCTACTGTTCACAGAATCTGTTGTGTTTATATGGCTTAATGGGTCTTAGCTCGTGCATTATTCACTGGAGACTTGAGCAGGTTGGTGTGACTGACGTTTGAAGCTCTTACCTGTGTGTGTGTATTCGAGGATAGGCGGTACGAGGTATTATCGGTAGGAGTTGCTGCGCATCCTCTGTTGTTTGAGAAGTAGCTAAGAAGATGTGTCTCATCAATAATGCATAGAAGATCCTGGCTTTGTGTTTGATAATGGCGATGAAAGAGCGCGATGCAGGGTCACTAGCAAAGATGAGCTGCTGTCTCCTGCTGTGCTGCCAATTGAAGGTTAGGCTGTTCTAAAAAAAAAAAGTTTAAAAGAAGTTTATGATGAGCTTTGCTCTTGTGGTTCTGCTGGGTATTGGCTAACATCCAGCGCTTCGCTCTGAGGTGTGCTTCTGCTTTATATTCTTTAAACCCGGCTGCTGGTTACTCATATCTTTGCTTGAGAGTTATTTTAATGTTTAAAGTTGTCGTGTTTGGCTAGAGGCATCGGCAGATGAGGAGTGGTTTTGTTCCTCTGTGCAGGCAGCCGGGGGTTGCCCACAGATGTAATTTATATGATTATAAACTCAGACCAGCCTATTAACTTTTCCCCTTACACCACACGGGTGCACTCTTCTGATTTCAGTCTGTCTGCTTTATTCTGGGACCAGGTATTGATGAGTTCTTCACACTGAGACGCAGTGGGAAAAGTGGGTGATGTTGGGTGATGACTTTTGCAAGAGAGAACCATGGCGGTAAATCTAATAGACTCCAAAGAGCCAATCAACAGCTAAATTCTGAAACATATGGGCCAATCATGTTGCTTTACTAGCAACGAGGTTGTTGTACCTGTGTGGCAGCAGAGGTATCTGCTCATTATGATAGTAGAGATGTAAGTAAGTGTATGATGTTTGTTGGATAGCCATAGCCATAATGTGCATTTGTGTAATCCCATGAGCAGAAATGTTGATTGTTTACTTTTTCAGTCCCAGTAAGCACTTGGAATGGAAGCTGTGGCTCTCACCCCGATATGATAGATAGAGATTTAGTCTGGTTAATTCCAGATAACTGCAAACCTTTGTCAAGTTGCTGAGCTGCAGGAGTTGCTTCTGGTTTGGCAAGTTAGTGCTCGAACTGGTGTTGGTTAAGATCAGGGTTCTTGCAGGTTCGTTCTTGGGCTTCCGCACCATATTTCATGTTAAAAAGGATGAGGACAAACATAAAGTGGACATACGTTGCAGTTTTTAAAGCTTATTTCAGTCAGAATCATGAAAAATAAAGTTTCTTTTTTATCTGTATGGCTCTATTCTGGGACCTCCGTGACCTTTCTTGAACGTAAACGCAAAGCCCAGCGAGGGCAGAGCAGCAACAAGATTAGCATTACTGAACAGAGTAAGCATCAATAACAACAAACACTGCAGTGATTAAATCTGATAAAGAATAAATGATGATCTGGGCTGGAGGTGTGTTGCAAAGCAGCTTGCAGATACTCAGCAAGAGGCTTTGGCTATCAGCTAATGTGGACTGGCACTAAAATCAGCACTAACACTGTCCACATTAGCTTTAGGAGTTCCCTTCATGGGGGTTAGACGGTGGAATACATTTGACTGTATCTTCTATGTCATAATATATATGTAGAGATAGTGGGTGGAGTCAAAAGACCATTTTTTGATCTGACTACATTTCGCTAATGCTTTTTCAAATGTTTAATGTCGTTATCTTTCTTTGTTTAATGTCTGTCTTTCAGCTGTCTGTTGAATGCAGCTGCATAAAAAAAATTATCATGAAATGTGCACAGTGAAAATACACATATTAAGCCAAAACAGGTGTAACAGGCCAACAAGGGCCAAACCATTAAAACAGGAATCACTCAACAGGCTGGCAAAGGACGGCCAGCACCTGAGGCAGGGGTGGTCATAATGCTTTGCCTCATCAGAATACACTTTTCTTTGAAGATTTTATATATTTAATAAAAACCCTGATTTGTTTTTTTCCTGTGAGTTACACGATTTTAACCTTGGCTGAAAGAGCCGCGAGTCTTTAAAGAAATTTGTCAGCCAGGTTTAAGTGAAGACTTCTGAGGGTCTACATGATGTTTCTAATGCGTTTCCTTCCCGAGGCTTCTTAAAGAAAGAAAAGCTGACCTGTTAAAGTCATTCATTATTAGCACAGCTTGCACTTTGAAACGATTCAGCCTTAACATATCTTTTTCTCCTTTTAGCAGTTGAACCTGAGGAAAAACAAAAGAAAAGAAGGAAATTTGCTGCTGTGCACTTTGTGTCTTGCAGCAAATGGTAAACTCTCTTAAAAAGCCTTAAACAAGGGTCTCAGCAGTAGAGTTGCGGTTCCCAGGTAGACTAATGATGAGCTCCTGCTTCTTTCCTGCTGTGTCATCAGTGTAATTACAGCAAAGCTCAGAGCAGCAAGCTGTAACATACCTGCAATCCTGTAAATGCACACAAACACATCCTGTCCCCTGTGTTACTTTTCCCTCCGCTTTGAAGGAGGGGAATGTTTGCAGCAGGGCCGTAAAGACAGGGATGGCTCAGTTAGTGTTTTAGGAGGGAAAAGGGGGGAGGAGGAGTGAGGGTGGAACAGAGGGGGAAAAAGATGAGGGCAGAGAGACGGGAGGGACGTCCCAGCATGTTCTAACGCAGCTGGGAAAAGGCCCTCCTGGAGTTCAAAGTAAGTGGCGGCCCCTCAACACCTGGAGTGGGGGGCCCATAGATACAAATGTGCAAAAGAAACACGCGGATTAAAGTGCAGGTCTCGGTAAAAGCCTGCAGGGCCTTCTGTGTGTTTGGTTCTGTGGTGAAAATAATCACAAGTCCTCGGTGTGCTCTTTCTTCTTTTTCCAGACTTTAATTTCTTTATTTGATTTGGTTTAGCGATCGGCTTGATTTATGCCAATAATAACTCTGTCAGTGCCTGAACAAAGATCATTCTGATCACTCGTCACAACTAAATTTAAAAAGACATAGAGGCGTGATTATAAATATAAATAAATATGAGCTGACAGGCATTTTAAACCACAGACCTATTTCATATCAGGTCAGTGAGCCAGTTTTCCCATATCTTTCTCAGCGACTTCCTGCAGCTATTTTCAGCGCTTTAGCGATTTCATGGTTAAAGTCATACGTTTGACATAAGTTTGACAAACACAGCAGTTTTATTTTTTACAACTTGTGCTCACACGTTTCATTTACCCTCTCTGGCCTGCTCAAATACACAAGGTTTTACTCACGCTGTGTGGTTTGATTGATCAGTCAAACATGAGTTAATGTTTTTCCTACGTACGAGCATTTTTTATACATTTCAGGAAAAGTGTCACAGTTGGCATCACTGCATGAAAAACTGGATTTCCAGCCACATGAACTGCCATGAACCTCACTGTTTCAGTAAAGAAAAGTGAAGACTTTTATTAGTAGTAGTAAAAGTACTGCATTTACTAAGGGCTTTGACATCCAGTATGCATGTGTTCATATTGTTATCATCATATAGTTTAACTGTCATCAGGGACATGAATGATTATCAGGAAACTAAAACGTTTAAAAGGAACGTGTCGGCTCTGAATCAGCGCTTTATTAAAACTCTAAGATTCCAGGAAATGAACTTATCTGATTTCCACAGTCAGAGTCGCAGACATAGATTACAGGACATGGTCTTCCCTTGCTGGAGTCCTCTTAGTGAGCCATGATTTCAAGGTCTACAGGTCTACATGTAACTGGGTTTCTAAAAGGATTTTCAGACGTTTGCATCTGCATACCAAAGCGTTTTCACACAAATCTCAGTGATACTTGGATAAATGTCAAGGGACACTCCTCTTAATCTTTGAATTCAGGTGTTTTCAGTCTCATTGCCATATGGTATAAAATGAAGCACCTCGCGGCTAGGTGCTTGACTGAATTTGTGGAAGCATTCACAGAACCACAGCACTAAACTGCAGAGCACCATGTGCCGTAAAAGTTGCCAGCTCTCTGCTGACTGAGTGTCTGCAGAGCTTCATGACATGGGTCTCAACGGCTAAGCAGCTCCTGTAGGTGTAATGCATGGGTTCAGATAGCGCGTATAAAAGATGAACTATGCTTTCTAAAAGCAAAGTTCTTTGAAGCTGCATTCTTGCTAATGGCCAGCAGGGGTCGACTTCTCTGATGTTGTGATTTATTCATAAAAGGTTTTCGAATAAATTCATGGTCTCAGTTGCTGGGTCCAAGTATTCATGAATACAGTAGTATACTTTATGTAAGTTAACGTCCCTATTAGAGTAAAAAAGGTAAAGATAAAAGGGCATGGTTTAAAGTGTCCTTTACAAGTTGCTAAGATATGAACGTGCACTGTTTCACATATTCAGAGACCTCACTAACTAACTGGTGCTGTTCCTGTCTTTTATATACAGTTTATGTCTGCATGTTTTTTGATTTAGAAGAGAAGGACATTTGGACACACAGATGGCTGGGGAGATTCGGACAATATGGTCTGTCTATTTTACATCAAAGATGGATTTAAAATTGTCTTTTGACAGCAGCCATCTGGGAAATCAGAACAAGTAACCGTTCAGACAGCCGGCAGCAAACTGTCTGATCTTCCAACAGCCAATGTGTGAAATAACAATTAGTGTTCGGGAGGCATCACTGTGAGCACTGCTGTAGAAATACTTACTGTTTTTCTGACTTGTTCTTCAGTATTAATATTCAATGTTAATAAAGGCCTTACAAGTTCTAATTTTCCCACATGTAAGAGTCGAATTCTCGTGGTAGAAGTTTTCCCGTGATCAAACTTTGCCATTGTTTGGATTTCTTCACTGACTGAATCACAATCAGTGTCTCTGCTGCAGCCCTGGAGGTTGTAGAGCATCCTGAACAGTCTGCAGAAAGACCTTCAGCGGTGCCATCACCCTGAGGAAATCCTGAATATCC